GAAGAAAACGAGATCCTCATCTCTCCTCTTATACAAAAATCAACTCAAGATGAATCAAATAATTCAATCTAAGGCCTGAAACCATAAAAATTCTAGAAGGTAACATTGGAAAAACCCTTCTAGACATTGGTTTAGGCAAAGACTTCATGACCAAGGACCCAAAAGCAAATGCAACAAAAAAAAAAGATAAATAGATGGGACTTAATTAAACTAAAAAGCTCCTGCACAGCAAAAGAAATAATCAGCACAGTTAACAGACAACCCACAATGTGGAAGAAAATCTTCACAATCTATACATCCAACAGATGACTAATGTCTAGAATCTACAAAGAACTCAAACAAATTTTCAAGAAAAAACTAAACCGTCTCATCACAAGGTAGGCTAAGGACATAAATAAACAATCCTTAAAAGAAGATATATGAATGGCCAACAGACATAAAGAAAAATGCTCAGCATCACTAATGATCAGGGAAATGCCAATGAAAACCACAATATAAAACCACCAGAATACCGCAAGAATGGCCGATAATAGATGTTGGCATGGATGTGGTGAAAACAAAACACTTTTACACTGTTGGTGGGAATGTAAACTAGTACAACCACTATGGAAAACAGGGTGGAAATTCCTTAAAGTACTAAAAATAGATGTACCCTTTGCTCCAGCAATCTCATGACTAGGCATTACCCAGAGAAAAGGAAATCATACAAAAAAGATACTTGCACATGCATGTTGATAGCAGCACAGTTTGCAATTGCAAGAACATGGAACCAGCACAAAAGTCCATAAATCAACAAGTGAATAAAGGAAATTGTAGATATATATATGCATATCATGGAATACTACGCAGCCATGAAAAGGAACAAAATAATGGCATTCACAGCAACCTGGGATGGAATTGGAAACTATTGTAAGTGCAGTAACTCAGGAATTGAAAAGAAAACATGGTATGTTCTCACTCGTAAGTGGGAGATAAGCTATGAGAACACAAAGGCATAACAATGATACAATGGACTTTGAGGACTGGGAGGAAATGGTAGAAGGAGGGTGAGGGAAAAAATGTTATTCACTGGGTATACTGTTCACTGCTTGGGTGATGAGTGCACCAAAATCTTAGAAATCACAACTAAAGAACTTATTCATGTAACCAAACACCACCGGTTCCCTAAAAACCCATTAAAATAAAAAAAATTAATAATTAAAGAGAAAAAAACCACTAAAATCCTTAAAAATCCAAATAAATAAATAAGTAAATAAATCAAATATGAGAACCTCTTCCAGTATAGAGAGAACCAGAGGCAAGAGATGAGGAAGGAAGAATCCCGACAAGCCCTCACAGACTCTCCTGTCACCTTAGATGAACATCACTCCAAGAGTTTCATTTTGATGGATGAAAAACTCAAACTTTACAATAAATAAACAAAATCAGGAATAATCAACCTAACGGCCCTCAAAGGTAGTCATGAGCCCTCTATGGGATGGGTGCAATTCAGCAAGAACAGGAAGAGTCTCAAAAGAAGTTTGCAGTTGAAAAAAGCCAGAACAAACGGGAAGATAGTGTTTGATAACACTGACACATTCCAAAAAATGGAAACCAAACAATAGTGACAGAGACAGATCTGTGGTTGCACAGGAGAGCATTGGGGAAGGGAGGGAGGGAGATGACAAAGGGTCATGAGGGGTTGCTGGGGTTGGTCACAGGTTGCATAGCTCCCTGTTGGTGGTGATGTATTCAAGGATTTAAAAAACGCCAAAATTTTCTAAGTTCCTATTATAAATCTGGTTGGTATATTAGATGCACATTGTTCCTACATGAAAGGAGTTTTATTTAAAAAGAATGTGCTGGGGAGAAAGGAAGCACAGGGATTCATACTGAGGAGTAGGGGGAGGAAGACACCACTCTGGAAACTCCTGGAAATGGGAAAAGGATGACGGAGACACAGGTTCCCCATCAGAGGTGGGTCTGTGATGACACAGACGGACCTGCCACCTCAGCCCAGGACCTCAGTGCAGACACCCTGTGTCTCAAGCTGCAGGGAGCAGGATGTTCTGTTTCCTGGATGCCCTGGTCCTGACTCTGAGGACTAAAGGGGAAGAGGAGCCTCCATTCTCAGACAGGGCTCTGGATGCCCCTGGACCCATGGGGGAAGCTACAGCAGCAGAGGCCACAGGCCAGGCCTGAGCAGCAGCTGCCGGGAGCTCACCCTCCTGGCAGAGGAGGAAGGAGGTTCTTGTCTCAGTTCCGCCTGGGCCTGGAGCACTGTGGGACCGCTCAGGCTGTCATTCCATGCTGCACAGTAATAATCAGCCTCATCCCCAGGCTGGAGCCCACTGATGGCCAGGGAGGCTGACGTGCCAGACTTGGAGCCAGAGAATCGGTCAGGGACCCCTGAGGGCCGCTGATTATTATCATAGATGAGGAGTTTGGGAGCTGTTCCTGGGAACTGCTGGTACCAGTATACATCATTACTTCCAATGTTGGAGCCGCTTCCAGAACAGGAGATGGTGACCCTCTGCCCGAGGGCCCCAGACACTGAGGGTGGTTGAGTCAGCACAGACTGGGCTCGGGACCCTGGAAGTGAGAGACACACAGACATGGTGATTGACAAGAGACAAAAGGAGAAAAGAGGAGAAAGCAGGGCTCCAGGACTTCCCAGGGCCCCTCTCTTGGTACCCTATCCTGTCACCTGCACAGTGAGTGAGAAGGATCAGGAGGAGAGGGAACCAGGCCATGCTGGAGATTGTCCTGAGTCCTGTCTTCTCTACCCACAGCTGCAGCTGAGCTTCCCCCACATCTCTCCCTGTCTTCATACTCTGAGAGTGAGAGGTCCATCCATGCAAATCAGACCCCCCAGTTTTGTGACCCCACCCTGAACCCTGGGTCAGGCTCCTGGGCTTGAGGATGCCAGGGGGTGGCAGGGGTGGAGCTTTGTTGTTTCAGGGGTGGGGAGGACACAGGACACAGTTGTCAGCCCTGAGCAGAGGACATCAGGCAGGGCAGGTGCCTGGTTCTGCTCTGATTACCCCCAGTCTTCTCAGAAATGGTCCCCAAGCGCCCCCTAGTGTCCAGACTAAGGCAAACTGTTCTATGATAAGGCGACCAGAGCCTCTGAGATACACTACTGCCTCCCCCCACCTCCCGTTCTGTCCACTGCCCCCACTCTCAAGTCCAGACCTAGTAAGGTGGCACCTGTGTCTCCCTCCTGTGACCTCAGGGCAGTCTTCATACTCTACCGGACTCCTCAGGAGTGGATCTGTCCATGGTTCTTTGACTGTACATTGTAGAGGGCTCAGGTGATGGCTACACAAAGTCCTTTTATTTCAGGATCAAGCCCAGAGTGGGGACCGGCCCCGTGGACTCACTTCCCCTCCTGTGTTGGACACCAGCTCCTCTCGTCTCATATGGCTCCGTCCTGTTGGCCAGAGCTCCACTTCCTCTGTGGATCCTGCAGCGCTGAGGAGAAAGGGAGCTCTTTCCTCTCGGATGCCCTGGGGAGACATTCCCAGAGGGTTTTTCTGGTAAATCCTTGTTCTCTCTCTACTTCCCCAGATTTGCAGTCATAGTCATCTGGATACTGTGACCAGGGATCTTGCCTAGGAGTCTGTACTCAAAGCACTGAATGCGCATCTGCAGCGGATCCTGACAAATGACTCTGGAGTGTTTCACTTATGAGCAAAAAGAGCAAAGATGCTCAGTCCTTGAAGATGGGAGGAATTAAAACTTCAACTTGGTTTAACCAGCGTCTGTCCTCAGGTGAGCCTGATACGTGGCAGCTCTTACAATCGAGCCCCCAACTAGGATTTCTAGGGGAAAATTATGGTTCAAATTCAGTAGTGAGTGTTGTGGGGGTGGCTTAAAGATGATAGAAATTGTTCATCTTTGATCTCTAATGACATCTAGAATCGAATAAACTGAAGACAACAAGCTTAACAAAAAACATAATTCTGTTGATCAAAATGAATAATGAAACAGTTTATGTCTGTGACTGCTTGAGTTCTGGCATGATACACTCTGGGATCGTAATAAATATTTGTTTAGGGAATTTTAAGGGGATACAGAAAAACAGCAGGATGGTTATGTTAATATAAGTTGCAATACAGTAAGATTTTAAATGCTCCATTTAAACAATGCAATAGTGAAACCTAATACTGACATTTAAATAAAACCAGTCCGTATATGGAACTGAAATAAAAGGTATGCTGTGCTTTGGGATCGCATTTCAAGGGTGTTGTTATTTTAAATGTTCCTTTTTGTGTAAGCCATGTTCCCTTACATAATTTTTATAGTTTTAAAAATGTGTTTGTTGTGTTTACATAGCACATCAGGCATATTAAGTTTTATTTATTTCCAAGTAGAAACGAGCTATTAGATCTGGGCTTTGCTTCCTGTTTTCTTCTCATTGCTTTTTCTTTGGTGATGCACAGATGGTCACAGTGAATTTTGTTTTCCTTTCCTCCCACTTTAATGAACAGGGGGTCACCGAGGCTGAGCACTGTCTCACATACAGGACAACGCTGCCCATGGACTCCTCCCTGCCCACGGATGCGCTTCCTGGTGGATTCCCCACCAGCTCTTAGGCTGAGGGCAGAGAGAAGAACAGGTGCACAGCTAAGGAACCTGGACACCCAGAGGTTCCGGGAGGAAGGGGCAACTGCTGGGACAGTGAGCTCTGGACTGAGGACACTGACTATGGATTTTTTTTAATGTGATCCTCCTCAGGAACCCTCAGAGACAGAGACCCCCAGTCCCTGTGTGTCTTGATGGCCCAGGTCATTCCAGGTCCTCCTTTTGTCACTACTCTAGGCTCCAGGCCTCCTCCTCCTATGAGTTACAATGGACAGTCTCCTCTTCAGGCTGCACCCTCCTTACCACATCTGACCCCACACCCATCTCCTCATTTCCCCATAAACCATCCCCTGCTCACCTCCATTAGCATTTTGGCATCATTCTGTTATCACAGCCTCCCCAAGGATGTCTCTGCTTGATATCCATGTGGCAAAGAGCTCAGCCCCTTGACAGGACAGCTAGGCCTGGCCCACCCAAGGCTGAGCATCTCTCTTGCTTCTTTTCTACACCAGCTCTAGGCCAAGCCATATCTAGAGCTTTCAGAATGCTGAGCCAATGTTTTCTTAAGCATCAGACTTCCTCTCTCACATCTATGCCTCCCACAGGCTGGATTCTCCTTTTATGTCATCGCTCCCAGAGTTTCAGAGCTCAGGCAATGGCCAGCATACCTGCACCAAAAGGAGGGGACACCTGTGGGACCAGGTTGAAGGGTCCTAGATTTCTAGGTCTCACTGGCTGGATTCTTTCTTTTTCTTTTCTTTCTATTTTTATTTTTATCTATCTATCTATCTATTTGAGAAGGAGTCTCTCTCTGTTGCCCAGGCTGGAATGCGGTGTCATGATCTCGACTTACCGCAACCTCCGCCTTCCGTGTTCAAGCGATTCTACCGCCTCAGTCTCTCCAGTAGCTGGGATTACAGGGACCAGCCACCACGCCCCACTAATTTTTGTATTTTTAGTAGAGATGAGGTTTCACCATGTTGGCCAGGGTGCTTTCGAACTCCTGACCCCAGGTGATCCACGTGCCTTGGCCTCCCAAGGTGATGGGATTACAGACATGAGCCGCCGTGCCCAGCCAGGCTGGATTCTTTCTTGTCATTTCCACCTCATCCCCACCCACCATGTGTGGGCAGCTTATTTTGCTTCTTGAAACAAACTGATTCTCTGTCCATTGGGGAGATCAGTAAGAAAAGGAGTTATTGTCACTGAACTCTTGCTCCGCTTTCACTAATACAACCGACAGCAGAAGCCTTGGCATGAACTGGTGTTGGTCACAGGCAGGGATAAAGGAGGGACGGACAGAGAGGATGAGTGGGACAGATCTTCTCTCACTTCTCCATGGAACAGGAACCCTTGGTAACATAGAGTCAGGGTGCAGCTGTGTGACACTGATAACCAGCCTGTCCTCAGACTGGAGCCCAGAGGTGGTCTAGGAGGCTGTGTGAATAAACCCAGAGCAGGAGAATCAGGCTGGGACCCCTGAATCACCATCACTGCTGTCCGCGGTCATAAACTGAGGGGCTGTCTCTGGGAGGCCTCTGTAGCCATTTCCATGAGAATGCCCAATGTTTCTGCGGCTCCCCATGCAGAAAAAGGAGACCTTGTGATGGGGGCTCCTCAAGAGTTTCCCAGGGAGGAGTCACTTGAAGCAAAGATTGGGCAGTTTCTGTACCGGGATATTCCACAGACTCACCACTAGACCCTGACTCAGGGAGAAGCTGCAATGGTGTAAGAGAGGAGAAGAGAACACAGTCAGGCCCTGAGGGATCAGGAAA